AGTGCATGATCGTCAGTAAGAGGATAACCCCGAAATGCGATCTAAACCTCCGGAACACTAGAATCAAACAGATGCGGAAGTTTAAATACCTGGGAAGCGTCTTGACAGCGGACGGTAAGTGCGACACTGAGATCCGTAGACGTATTGAGATGGCCAAGGACACATTCCAAAAGCTGGGTAGAGTTCTGCGAGACAGGAGGATATCTTTGGTAACAAATAAAACAATACTGAGCTATTACGTGACATCTGTCCTTCTATACGGCAGCGAACTTTGGACGATATCCTCAAGATGAATAAGAGACTCGAGGCGACGGAGATGTGGTTCTACAGAAGGATGCTAAGGATGTTATGGACCGAGCGTGTGAGCAACTATGAGGTCATAGTGTGGATGCAAACAATGAGGAGGCTTATACTTAACACCAAGAAGAGGCAGCTGACGTTTCTGGGTCATATAATGAGAAAGGAGGGCTTGGAGAATCTGATACTCACGAGTCGAATAGAGGGAAAGAGAGACAAGGGAAAACAACGCGTGACATACCTACCGGGATTTAGCAAGTGGATGACAGAACGTGATCTGGGGGTGGTAGCAAAGGGAAGGAACTTGTTGAGAGCTGCAAGGGATAGGAGGAGGTGGAGAGCCATGATCGCCTACGTCCTGAAAGGACATGACACATAAAAAGAAAGATCAAGTAAATAGCATGAAAAATATAGTGGTAATATTTCATAATATTTTTTTTACTTTCTTTCTCTAACTTTCCGTGATCATTTGAAGCGTCTATAAAACTTTGCACGATTTACATTTATAGATCTGTGGTCCTCATCTTCATTGTCACATTTACAACGTTTCAACCGCTATACAATCCGGTTTTCTTCAGTTCATATCTGTTTTAATTTCGAACCGAACCCAAAATATTCAATCTGCATGTTGGAGTTTCGGAAGTTTGGTTCCATGACGCCTGTGTAGACGTTCCTTCCATATTTATTTCCTGTGATGTGCTGACGTATAAAATTCACATTTCTTTTTCTCTCAATAAAATCAGTGAAAATTTGTACCATTTCTTCCATCCACCGCTTGTAAATATCTTTACAGGGATTGACAAAGAAAAGTTTTAAGGTACTTCACTAGGCCGTATTGTATAGGTCGCATCAAAATTGTTTCAATTCTTACCCCTGATTTTTCATCTTTTTTATTAAATAGTGACCGGCCTAAATTGAGAAGCTCTATTAACAGAAAAGTTCATCAACAAACAAAATAAAAAAAAGATTGAAAAATAGGAAATACAAAAAGAGTTGGGACATGACAGTGATCTACCCACACCCAACCCTATTGTGATTAACACCTCTAGAATTAAGGTAGAACTATATAACAGTCAATTTGCCAATAGAGCTCAAAGCTACCGATCCAAATCGTAACTGAGTTTTCATGTCAGGCTGTAAGATTCGTCGGCTGTTAATATTTCAATCGGGTCCCTGAGCGGAATTTACACACACACACACACACACACACACACACACACACACACACACACACACACACACACACACACACACACACACACACATATATATATATATATATATATATATGTGTGTGTGTAATGTAGGATAATCTGATTTAAAATATGGTTCATTGCTACACAGGCCTTACCATGTTTCAAAAACAGAAACTAACAACTTCAAATATCTAAAAAAATTAAATGCGCTAGTTCTGTTTCGTTTTCAAGCGAATTTTGGAATAACTTATTTTGAAATTTACTGAATTTTAAGAGCACATACAATTTTTTTCCAAGGATACAGAACTAGTGCTTTTAATTTAATTAAATAATTGAATTTGAAGTTGTTAGTTGCTGTTTTTGAAACATGGTAATGCCTGTGTAGCGCAGGAATCATATTTTTAAATCAGTTAATTTATACTATTTATGCTCTGTATATTTACATTGAGCACTCTAAAAAATATCAATAAGAATACCGGATTATATAGCTTACTATTCTTTCTTTTTTTAATATATATATATATATATATATATATATATAGAGAGAGAGAGAGAGAGAGAGAGAGAGATAGATAGACAGATAGATAGATAGATAGATATGTATGTATGTATGTATATATTCAAATTTCTTGAGTTAATACAGTGAGAATCCTACACAATAAAAATGTGGAATATATCGGTCACCGGATTTTTTATTTTCATTTTCGAGAAGCTGACATCTACCCTTGCGTTTCAATGCATCATTTTCTGCGGAACCATTCAATTGAATAAAAGCAAAAAAACCTTGTCTTGGAAGGGGACAAAGTCCTTGAGACGCACACAAAATCTCATTTCTCTTGTAAAGAAAATGGATTCTGTATGAATAAGGGGAGATATAAAAATGACAGACGCTGAAAAGTTGAAACCATTTTGACAGTTGCTGGTCAAAATTGACAAATGGGAAAAATAGTACAAGGAAATTCTTGTTTACACGTTATTTATGCCGACTCCAGATGAAAAAAAAATCATATTCGAGACAAAAATCTGAAAACAATTTGGGTAATATATTTTGCGTCTCATTCTTTTCCATATTCCCTGTTCTTCAGTGACGTAAGCGATCATAGTTCTCCACAACTTCTACTTTATATTAATTTGAATACCCCGTTAAATAAGTAACAATACTTATTTTAGAACTGTATCTGAAAATTGAAATCCAAGACAACAAAATATCTTACAGTATATAATATCCTTAACATTGTTGTAACGACATTAATTGATGATTTTAGTATAAAATTTACAACGCGGGGAAAATGATGATGATGATGATAACGATGAGAACATTCTTCTTCTTCTTCTTCTTCTTCTTCTTCTTCTTCTTCTTCTTCTTCTTCTTCTACATCCTCCTACTGCTTCTTTTTTAATTCTTCCACTCTTTCTTCTTCCTCCTCCGTCTTCACTTCTTTTTCCGCAACTACTTGCTCTTTCTTTTATTTCTTCTTCCCGCCTTTTCTTTCTTCCTCCTCCCCCTCCTCCTCCTCCTCTTTCTTCTTATTTCTCCTCATCCTCCACTTTCTTCTTCCTCCTACTCATATATTTCCTTTTTCTTCTTCTTTTTCTTTCTACTCGTTCGTCCCCGCTTTCTTTTTCTTCCGCCTCCACCTAATCTTTCTTTTTTTCTTCTTTCCACTTCTCCTCTTTCTTCTTCTTCCTCCTCCTCTTCATCCACCTCTTTCTTCTTTTTCACCCTCGTCCTCTTTCTATCTTCTTCACCCTCCTCCTCTTTCTTCTTCTTCCTACTCATACTTTTCTTCTTCTTTTTCTTCTTCCTCCTCATTCTCTTTCTTCTGACACCTTCTGTTTTTCTTCATTCTCATTCATTTTCTTCACCCTCCTCCTCCTCATCTTTTCCCCTCCTCCTATTTCCTCAATACATGGCCCATCTCTTCTTCTTCTTCTTCTTACTTTTCCTCCTCTTCTTCCCCCCTCCTTCTTCTTTCGCCTTACTCCGCTTCCTCCTCCTTCTTCTTCCGCATCCTCTTACTCTTTCATTTTCTTCTTCCACTTCCCCCTTTCTTCTTCCGCCTCCTACTCCAACTCTTTCTTCTTTTCACCATCCTCCTCTTTCTTCTTCTTCTTCTTCTTCTTTATATATTCTTCTTCCATTTCCTTCTTATTCTCCCTCCTCCTCATTCTTCTTCTTCTTCTTCCTCCTCCTTTGTCTTCTTTCTCGCCCCCTTTCACCTTCTTTACACTTCTATTTCTTATTTTCAACCTCCTCCTCCTCCTCTTTCCTCAATACCTGGCCACAGCAAACTTGGAGAGTTGAGTTACTAAAGGGAATCAACTGAAACTGAGATAT